CAAACCTTAGCTCAGCAGCAGTAATCCACCCAACAGCTTGGTTTTGTGCCCGAGAACAACTGTTGGAAGAGCATAGCAATGGGAATTCCTACCTCACCTTTTGTTTCCTCTGAAAACTGTTTACCAGGTGACTGGATACATTACGATCAGAACAAAAACGAGCAGAAAAGAAGCGCAGTCAGTAAGTCAATTTGAAAATAAGTTGGGGTTACTTATTTTCTGTGTACCTCGCTTGCTCTTGTAGCTCAAGTGATATGAAAGAAATAACATCACCTCTCATTGCTTCTTAGGTGTCAAAAAACGGAAACCAGCCATCAGCATTTTGGAAGAAGACGAGCTCTGTAGCAAAAAGCAAAAGACCGGCAATACTGCAGGTAGAGCATTTCTGTGTCGTTTAAAATAACAGGTTTGAGGGGTTTTTTTTGCATCCCGTGAATTAAACCTGAGCTCACTTTTTTAAAGACTTCCACGAATCTGAGCATGAAATATAGGAGGAGAAAGCGCTGCTACTGCTATTGTAGATGCAGGATTTGTACCTGCATTTGTATACTTCGGTACACTTTGTCATTCATTCGGTAAGTAAATGGGGAGAAGCAGCTAGGAAATTTGCTTTATAAGAGTCAGCTGAAATGGTATTGTCTTCTAAGACTGGGAAATAGTGGCTGCTTTTGAAAGAGGTTTCCGCTATGTGTCTCAGATTTTGCATTTGGGATACCTTCCGAGCCTTAATAGGCTGAATTTTTCTGAAAAAAAATCATCTCCCGTTTATTGTTGACATGTGATGTTCTGATGGTCAGAAATGGTTGGTATCTGGGAGTTCCCACCCAGAAACTACTCATTTACTTATAGTTACTTGGAAAAAATACAGAGGAAATAATGTTAGTTCAATAAATATCAAAAAAACCTCAGCAAAAGTAGCCACGTAGCTGTTTGTTTATGATGCATGTAGCCACCAGAGGGAGAGCTTCCATCCCTCAAAACCCCAGTTTTATGTGTAACTGGTGACACCGAGGAGGAAAGCGGCTCAGTCCGTGTAACCGCATGGGCTGAGACTTCTGAGCCATTGTAATTAAAGGAAAAACAAACATCTGTAGCAGCTGTAGCTTTCAAGAAAAACTGGCATCTGAACTTGCCAGGAGGTAGTGAGTGCTTAGCATGGCCTTAACATTACACGTCTCAAAATCTCTGAGTGCTTGATAACCTAACATACAGTTCGTACAGTTTTTCCTACTAGATTAATAGCTGCTTATAAATGGGAAAAAAATCCTTTACAGCAGCCAGCATGCAATCAGATGTTTTCATCTTCATGAGCCAGGCTTCTTAATCCTCCAGCGCTTGGCCCTGACCTTGCTGGATAATCCGAATGATAAGATCACCTTCATCGTATGTCCCCTGGCCATGCACAGAACTGATAGTGTCATTTAGTTACAAGTTTAATGAGAAGAGCAATGTTAAATCTGATTTTTGTTCCATGTCTTTTCAGATGGAATCACAAAAAAAATCTTAACGGATCAACAGCTGATGGTGATCGCAAAGTTGTTTGGTAGGCAGTGGAGAGAAATTGCCATTGAGTGTCTTCAGATGGAAATGAAAGACATTGAGCAGATTCAGGCAACGGAAGAAGAAGTTAACATGCAAAAATTTCTGGTGTTAAGCAAGTGGAGAGACAGAGAGCAAAGCAACGGAACTGCAGAAGCTTTGTACAGAAGTCTCTGTGAAAAAGCGTCCTATGAGATACTGCAAGCCCTACAAGGTATCGCCTTCCCATTATATTTATTTAATTACATCAGTGTGTTTCAGATGTATTTTAAGAATTTGCATCAGAGAGTTTACTGAATACGTAGTACATGTTTTACTGCGTAGGTCAAAATTGTCTCCCTTCTGATATTAGCAATGACTTTCTTTCTTGTGGCATTTTTATACTTCCCTTCAGAAACTGATACAAAATGAATAATATTTTTGCACTGACTGTGTTGAGAGTACTCTTAGCATGACCTAGCTGTCACGGCCAAACCAGTCAGTGTTATATACCCAAACCAATTCTTGATTCTCTCAGGAACTCCAAAGAAGAGATGTTTGGGTCTTTACTCTTATGTATTTTAGGAAGGGTTAATAAACACCTTCACCTGACGGATGACTTAACGGTTAGGTCCTGCAGACGTGTGTGTGTATTTCCTTACTGCCCATGGGTGCTCCCACTGATTTCTGGGGGACTCCTTATGTTCGGTTCACTTTGTGCAAACCAAAGTTGTTCAGTGGGCTTAGAACTCAGCCAGCCAAGGGGAATCTTTCTCAAAAACTAAACATATTTTTTTCTGTTTGGTGGAGAGCTGCTCGTGCTCGCTCGTTCATCTGACCCTCACAAACCTGTCTGTTGCCATAGCCTTGTGCTGTGTCATAGGCTTTTAATGCATTTATTATTCAACTTGAATATTGCAGTAACTTGTAGAGATCAGATAATCTGTGTGTGTTTGTGCGTGTTCCTTTCCTCAGGTTTCTTGGCTCGGTGCTGAGCTGGTGAAGCTGCAGCTAGAAGGAGCATGGTGGGAGCTTCCCCAGCCAGCCGTTACGCTTCTCCAGCTGCTTCCCTGGGATCTCGCTGAGATTCGGGAAGGAAGATGCAAGGCATCATCACTCAGCGGAAAGTTTAGGCAGGATCTTCACAAGAAATGTGAATGAAATTTTGTGTGGATATAAGCACATGTAAGACTTTCAGGAGCAATTACTCACGTGGTGGATCCCGGCATTGTAGCCGAAAGTGCTGGGCTTCGCATACGGGGAAACCCAACACTGCCACCCAGCTTTGTCTCATTTGAGCAACTCCCAAAAGACATGAACACTGGAAGAAATCAGTTTACCTTGTTCAGGTATATGATCATTATCTGGAAATGTTTTTATTTCCATCAGGGAAAGACAGGGAGAAAAGTTATGCAGAAACTTTTGTCCCCTTAAGAAAAATACTGAACTGCCAAAATCATGAGGTACGTTGTATTTCTCACAGATGCCCAAGATCAGGGAAAAATAATCCTAAACTTACAGATAAATTCCTTTGCATAATCACTGTATATATACATAATTACTGTATATACTTGTGTACATTCAGTCCTTGTTAAGCTGTGGTTCTGTTTTCTAAAAACCTGAAGACTGGTGTCACGGGAGCACCACTATTAACTCCAGGCAGCTTTGAATTTTCCCTGGGAATTTCTTCTTCACTCTTTTCTGTATAGTCTGTCTCAATTTTTGTGAGATAATTTTTTATGTTGTATAATTTTTTTTTGTATTATAAACTTTTTATACTTTTTTTTTACTTGATTAATTTTAACTTGAATAGAATTAGGTGCTTAAACAAAAATGGGAGAAGCCAAAATCTCTGTGAAGGCTGTTACTCTGTCGGCAATGCACGTATTACAGAAATGGAAAAGATTTGGAAATAATGTTATCTGCAGAAGAGAGTGGTGACCTGATACAGGAGATTGTCTGTTTTTAAAGACACGGGATTCTTTTGAGCATCTTCCTCTGTGTATGTTTATGAAAGAAAAAGCATACTTTTAAAAAATAAGGATTAAAAAGGAAACATTTACACTATTTACGTAAGGTGGTTTTTTTTTTTTTTTAAGCCATTGGATGAAATGTTGCAAGGTTGTTGTATGCTGTGGGCCATCTTTACAACCCCTGATGCTCTACTGCTGCATACATCCCAGGGGGTGGCCGAGGAAAAGGGCTGTGTTGGTGCCCAGGACCTCACGGGCTCTTCTGCCAATGGGGCTTTTAGTGGGGAAAAAAGCTGTGGGAGGCAGGGAGGCTTGTGTGGGGCTCTCCATCCCTGGGCAGAGCTGCCTTTGGCTCTTCTCTCTGGGACAAGCAGGTGGAAATTGCCGTCAGGGGGACCGTTAAGATATCCAATAAAAAACAAAACTCTAATAGGACCCTCTGGTCAGAAGCAGAAATCAGTAAATCTAAGCTGGAAATAAGATGCTTATTTGTAATAATGAGGGTAACTGGATAGTGTAGCAGGTGATGGTCAAAAAAGCTGATAAGGTCTTCAACCCTCAAGTTCTTTAAATCAAAATCAAGAACCTTTTAAAAAAAAAAGTATATTGTATTTCTGGGGTCTTCAGTTTGGCTTTGTCCAGTTCTTGCAGGCACAAGGAATTAAAACGTTACAGTTGCACAAGGTTGCTCTTACCTTACAACTTGATCTACGTGGTGGGTGGTCTGTGGGAGCAGGGACCATGGCTCTGGTTCCGTTAGAAAGCTCTGGGAATGTATAAGATTACGTTTTAAGAGCTGGTGTGGTGTGCGGGTAACCCCAACGCTTGGGGAAGAGGATGAGGATGGCAGCTGTCCCCTCGGCATCTGGAAGAGCAGGGAGTCCCACCAGCCCCTCGGCATCAAAAGAGGCTACTTGGGGGTCCCCAAAGAGATGGGAGGGCAGAGCTTGGAGAAACCAAGCAAGGGGAGAGAGCTGAAGAACAAGGTGCTGATGGGGTGACGAGAGGCAATGGAGGCAGCGTGGGAGCTGGCTGGGACATGGCCAAAGTCACTGCTTGGCCAAGGGCAGATCCACCAAAGAGGGGATGGACACTGGGCTGGCTTACGTACTGCAGGCAGAAATTGCAAAGATAATCATCCTGGCATCCCTCCTGGCCTTCAAAGCTACGCATAAATCTTCGCCTCACTGAAACAAACAATTTAGCCATTGATTTCGGTGGGGCCAGGATTTCACCCTGGAAACTATGTAACTGGCTGGAAAATCACTGTAAATGAGGAGGATATCGCGTGGGTTGCTTTGAGTGCTCAGTCTGAGGGAAAATCCACAAGAAACACATCTGACGTAAGTAACAAGATGGAAACAGGATTTTAAAATACGATACCAGTGCTGAATGTTACTATGGTATACTTTTACATGCCAGCAATATTCAAAGTATTTTAAAAGTATTCATGCTATATCTCAAGGAAGAAAAAAAGAATCACCACATTTTTTATGCAAACTTTAATTTTATTAGGCAATAAATAGAATAAACAAGGAATATCATAATAAATAAGTTGATTATTATAAATATGTTTCAATTTCTGAAAATTACAGCTGAATAAATAAAACCATTAAGACAAATTACAGTTGAGTGTTTGGTGGTTTGAGAACGTTTCGGTACTACGATGTAGCTTATTTTCTAGAAATCTAGAAAACAATGGCTTAAAAGGCACTGACAACAGCTCACTAAAATGTGATATGTAAGAGACTCTGAAATATGGTTCCTAAAAAGCCCCCAACCACCTTGCAGGATACTGACCCTACTATTTTTTCTCCAAAACATCCTTAGGTCAAACGTCTACCCAAAGTGCTGGAGAGCTGGGCGCTTACAGCGAACTCTCCGGAGAGGTCAGGTAGTTCATCATCCTGTTGATGGTGACTGTGCGGATTTGGAAGGCATGAAGGATGCTGCAGAGCCTCATCCTCTCATTGAAGGAGGTCAGCCCTGCGCCTGCTGGTGGCTGCGGCACGCTCCTGCTGCTGGTCTTCAGGGCCTGGGAAGAGGTAGGGGCATTAAAAACTATCACCAGAAAGTGGCTAAAACAAAAACCTCTTTTAGATTTTTCACCCCGAGTGATAAATGACAAAACTTAGAAATAAGAATGTATTCTCATAAATGAAAAATTTGAAATATTTAATGATATATTTAATAGACTTAGGATGTGCAGCCATACTTTCCTTGAGACAAAAATGTCCATTCATGCATAAGGCTCTTTCTACCCAGGAATAAAGATGCTTTTTTAATAATAAGCCTACAGCCAGCTTTATCTAGCGACTCCTTAGTCTGGGCTCATCTGCCCATGGCCAGAATCTCCAGGCTATTGGGAGGTGCTATGTCAATACAAAGGCAATTAACTTTTTTTTAAGTAGCATTTGTTAAACAAACAAGCTTTTAACATTTATTCCCTGTACTCACTAATAATATTAATCAAAGTTCATACATCCTATTTCATATTCAGTATAGCAGGTGTATCATATTTCAGTATTTGGGAGAGAAATAGAGTGATGTCCCTGTATCCTTTTACTCTATTTTTGAGTTCTCTGAGGAACTGGCAGAAAATCCTGTACCCTGTCTCCTGGCGAGAGCAGAGCAGTGTGAAAGAAGGAGGGCTGCTAAGGAACCATGCATCTGAGTCCTGATGTGTTGACCATATCGGCAAGGCAAAAATATGAAGTGAAACACACAATTCATAAGAATCAAGCCCCTTCTAGGAAAAACAGTAACAGACAATTTTTTTAAATTACCAGATTAAAGAAAAGTCACTATTTGACTGACCAGAATGGAGCACGCTGGATTAAAAACTCTGGTTTAAGACAGAAATAGTAGAAAGGAAGGAGACAGAAATACTTACTTTCATCATTTCATCAATAGTTGCCAGCACCTTTTGATCATTGAAGTTCTTCAGCTCTGCCCTGTAGGCATTCAGATCCTCATAGATGCCCTGCAGGCATTTACTCTGCAAAAGTCAGAATTATTAGGAAATGTAGGAATCTGTTGTTAAATGCTTTAAACATACAACAAGCAAAAGAAGGGGTTCTTCTGGGAAACTTGCAATTTACCGTATCAAAAGTAGATCTTCCTAGTGCCGGACAGTTTTCAGCCTGCAAATCGAAGAAGAAATGAGACATGGTGATTTTGTGGAAGTGTGAGTTATACAGCTGTTCCATGAAAATATGATGCTGAAACTTCATATATTTTTTTTACCCCTGGATTCTCAGATGTGCAAGCTTTTATCGTGTTGATTTGATTCTTAGTGATATCTTCAAGATCAACCTCTTCAAGGGTACATTCAAATCCCAGTGTGCCGAGCTCCTGTGTTAAAAAAGGAATAAAAAAGGGTCATTGACTCAGCTTCATGGTACCGCGTGTGTGTGTGTATATATATATGTAAATACACAAAATTTTAACTGATGCATCACAGCTGTCTGCACTTAGCTGGATCCTAGGAATGAGGCTGTGTGAGGACTATGGTTAAATAAGACAGCTAGCAAATAGACTGAGAGACTGAAATGCATGTGGCAGTTGTGTTTAATGGGAATAAGGTCAGGCTTTGCACAGATTTGTTTTATATGTTGTTGTGAATTGCACTGTCTCCATTACTTTAAATTACTCTCTCAGACATTGAATCTATTGAAAACTTTATGTCGCTATAGTTTCAAATGTAAAGTATCTCTTAGAAAGTGAAAAATAACTAATACGATCTGCATAGACATTTAACAGTGCTCACTGACCCACTGCAAGTGTGGGAACAATGCACCTATTTAGTGGTGGTGGTTTTGTGGTTCTCCGAGATGAAGCTTGCAACAATAGCAGGGAATTTTAGCAAAAAAAAAATCCCCTTGGCACTACTGCCGGCGGGCTTTAGTACGGAAAGTTGCTACAGCACCAAACCAACGACGCCAGCAACAACATGCAAACATAACGACAAAGTCGGGCGCAAGTATTTCCTGAGCCAGCTCTGCAGGGGCCTTAGAGAAAGAGCATGTTCAAAACCAAGAGCGCTCAAATGAGCTGTTGATGCATTGCTGGCGCCGCTAGCGGTGTGTGTGTTTCTGTGGGGCTGCAGTGAATAAGGGCTGAGAAAGACACCTGAGCATATCCCCACCCTTAAGGGCTGGCCAGGGGAGGAATGAAAGAGAAGACCAGGTATAGAGTCTTAAAGGGAGCCTACAGAGAGCTTCCGTCCACATGGGCACCCTCACCGCCCCATCACCACCCTCCTGGGTACCATCACTGTCCCATCACCGCCTGCCCA